CAAACAATTTTCAATCAAATACGCGGTAAAATAGTCATTCGGGATGAATTAAGTCACAATCCCCAACGTTGCATGACCCCACGCTCGTCATCTAGTATGTGTGTCATCTTAATATAGCACAACGATGTAAAATCCGTGGTTTCATACCCTGAGGACAACATTTACAATCATTACTCACCTCTATCCGGTCCAAATCTCTAGCTCGCGATGTCTTTGCCTCTCGAATCGGCCTCCAGATGCTCTAAATCTAACCAAAATTAGGGAAAAACCATCAAAATATGCTAAGGAAACAAAGCCCACTCGAAAGAAATCAAATTACAACACAAATCACGAAATTGGCCAAACCCGACCCCCGGGCCCACGCCTCGGATTCCGACAAAAATTTCATCAATAGACTCCTTATCACTCCCCGAGTTTATTCATATCAAAAGTACCAAAATCCAACAACAAACAATCCCTCAAATCCTAAATTCTAGGTTGTCACACCTCATTTTTACCACCCCCGGATAGGACTATATTCTGGGTCGGGCCTGGGCCTTCGTGGGCCTGGGCTCTGGCGGTCCCGGGCTTCGTGGGCTCAACGGGTGGAACCGGCCTGTGCGGGCCTAAGCCCATATGGTCCTGGGCTAAACGGGTCGGGCTCGTGGGCTTCACGGGCCTAGCGGGGTTTTTTTAAGGCAATTTCTTGTAGTATCATGGCTATATTAAAAATATATATGTAGTATATATGTAGAAATGTAATTATTAAAGTGCTTGACGAAAAAGAAAAATAATTAAACAATAGTAAAACACTAAATTGTCATGCATAATAAATTAATAACAAAGTACAACATGAAGCATAAATACGTCTAATAATTTTGAAATAACACAAATTGTTGAAAAAACCTTAAAGACGAATTCTTGGATAAATACCCTCAACACAATGCTTTATATGCCTCCTTAAAGTGCCTGTGGTTTGAACAGTACTAAAATTTAAGACTCTTCCACAGTTCTTGCACTTTAATTTTTGGCCTTCTTCATTTTCTTCAACCACTTCATAGTACTGCGAAATAAATAAGCGCACTTTTTCCGAACGAGGCATCATGTAACTTTAAAATTAAGATTGAGACTTGAAGTATTGAAAATTGGAGATTGAGAGATTGAGAGAAATTTAGAATGAGTATTGAGTATTGAAATGAAGAAGAGGGAGGGGGTATTTATAGTGGTAGAGAAGGTTAGTTTTGTAAATTGAAAAAAAAATTGTTTGAATTTTGAATTTTGAAATTAAAATTTTAAATTTTGAATTTTGAATTTTGAAAAATCTTGTTTTGTAGTGTATATATATATATATAGTATAATATTGCCCAGAAAATGCATTTGTAGCAATTTGAAAATGTTCTAAAAAATCTAAAAGAATTTTAACATTCGTCCAATCTTGAGTAGTAAGCATTTCATCATCATCATCACCACCTACCCGAGAATTAAACGTTGCATTAATTGGGTTTCTATATTCATATGCAACTACTAAACTTTCGTACATACAATTCCATCTAGTCGGGCAAGGTTTAGGAACCTTTCTTTCTCTAAGGCCATATTCATCACATTTTTTAAAATACTCTCTAAGTCTACTTCTACGGTTTGAATAAAAAAGCCAATTAAGAGCCATTCTAACCTTTTCAATTTCTATGTTTAATATTCGCATACCATCACCGACAATTAAATGATAAATATGACAAATACATCTAACATGGAAAATATTAGTAAATGCAGGATTTAGTGTTGTTGTAAGCATGCCTATAGCACTAGTGTTACTAGAAGCATTATCCATAGAAATTGCTATTATTTTATCACTAAAGCAAAAATATCTACAAATATCTGCAATAGTGTTAGCTATAAACTTACCTGTGTGACGTGAATTAATTATTCTATACGCAATTATGCTTTTTTGCATTGTCCATTCCTCATCTATCCAATGACTTGTAACAGTTAGATAATCACAATAATTACCACTTCTACCAATATCAGTAGTAATAGAAATCCGATTAGGTATATGAGTAAATAAATACCGCAAATATTGTTCATATTCATGTTTGAATTTATAAATATCACTCTTAACTGTTGCGCGAGGTCAACCTTTATAAGTAGGATTAAAAACTCTTCTAATATAATGAACCCAATTAGGATTAGAAGCAAAAGTATAAGGTAAGCACATAACAATAATCATCTTTGCTAATTTTTTACGATCTCTATTTGGATCGTAATATAAAATACCTCCAGTGACAGTGTTAATTCCGGGTTGAACTAGATTTGAACCTGTACTAGGGTTAACCGCAGAATCTACACTTGTCCCCTCTAGATGCGCTTTCATTTGTAAAAATCTAGCCTTATCTCTAGGTTGTGTTTTATGTGCCTAGTCAAACTACCCATGCCTCTACGATCTCCAGTATATTTATGCGCCATTAATTTCCCACAAGTTTTACACTTAGCCTTAGTATTTTAGAACAAATGAAATAAACTACAAGTTGAATCAAAGGACAAAAGAGAGCATTAAGTAAAATCTGAGAATCTCCATTCTTCAAATCAAACAAGCCACTCTTACATTTTCAGAATTTGAGATGTGTACCTGAATACAACAAAATAAACAAGAAAAATAGCCTGAGGTTAGGAGGAAGCAACAGCAGTATGTCAGCAACACCAACACAACCAAACAACAACAATACTCAGTCCTTCTAAACCATTTTGAACCCAGAATGAACCAGAAATTATTGAAAGGCTTTAAGCTATGAAGATAAACAGCAGAACTAAGTTAATTTCCACCAAAAATGCAAGAGATTTTCAGTGTTTTTGAGCTCAGCCGTTTGTATGCTTTTTAGTATTCTAAAATCTCTAAAATCTATCTTGACAAAGAAGAAAAACAGGCCTCTTATAGAAGACCTCTAGGGCAGCAAAAATGACCCTATCATTTATCAATTACCCCTTCCCCAATTTTCATTCTTTCAAGTTAAACCCCAATTTTCTAGCATGTTTGTTAAATCAGCCCCACTACTCACTTTCCTAGAAGCTTCCTAGTTAATTACACCAGATTCTTTTTATCCAAACTTCCTAAATTACCCTTTGAATTCCTATTTAACCTTCCTGGCCTAAACCAATGCAGGCCACCTGAATCCCAAACCTGAGCCTAAACAAATAGGCTTCTAATGCCCCAGGTCTAGACTATCACAAACCTAAAAAATGGTCCCAAATCAGTAAAGCAAAGAAACAAATCAAATAAAATCAAAGGGCTCAAATTAACCAACAGAACCTAAACGTGATGAACCCAAACCCCACTGATTAATTCAACCTATGACTGGCTAAAGAATGAAATAGAATAGGAAAAAGAAGCACAGTAGAGATGGGCATGCTGGTACCATTTAATAAACTAACAGAAATCTAATTAAACAAAGAAAACAAAAGAAAGAAATCGACCGGCTGACTTGAACAAAACATAGCAGAAATAATTGACAAATGAGCGGCAAAAAATGAAAACAGAATCAGGAGTCAAGTAAAACAAGGTTAAGAAGGGACTAACGAGATATAGGAAAAGAAAAACATGGACATACAATCAAAAAGAGAAAGCAAATACTATTTTACCAGAAACAGTTCAGCATTGCTGACAAATTTGCTGATCTTGGTCTTGCATGGGGCTGGTAGGCTTCGAAACAAGTCGAAATCCATGCTAATCACTCATCCTCAAGGAGAACAGTTGAGTGGCATAAATTTTGACCCATTAACGGCCTATAAGGCTGCTTGAACTTTGAAAAAGGGAGCAAAATTAGGGTTTCGAATTTGGGTATCAGATTTGGGATTTGAAGGTAAGAGTGGGGATTTTGGGGATATTAGTGTTAGATTCATGTTCCATGGGGTGTAGGGATTGTAGAGGAACAATTTGGGGTTGGTTGGGTGGTATGCCGCCGACGGATGGCTTGGGAATTTCAGGGCGGCGGGTTTAGGGTTCATGGAGGGTCTCTGAGTGAGAAGATGAGTGAGGGCGTCGATTGGGGAGGGGGGTAAGGTCATTTTGTACAGTTAAATACATATGGAAACCCTAGTTCCCAGCTATTCAATGAGTGGAAATCAACGGCTGGGATAACAGACCTCAAAATGGTGTCGTTTGGTTAATTAAATAGGACAGACCGGGTTAGGGGAATTGGACCTGGGCGGATGGGTGAGGGAACGGGTTGGTACCAGAATTTGGGATTGGGCTTGATTGAATTTTGACCCAAGCGACCCTTTTTTCTCATTTCAACCTTTTTTGTTTCTCTTCTTTTTTTTACTTGTTTTCCTTTCCTTTTTAATTAATTAAAAACAGAAATAATTCTTAAATTAAAATAATTTACCAAATTAAGCTAATTACTCATCATAGTATGTACAAAAATTAATTAACACTTAAATTAAAAGAAGAACTACAAAATTTAAAATTAAAAGGTTAAAAATGCAAAGTGAGTCATTTTTTGTGATTTTTTATTTTTTATAAAAAATAACTAATTTACTAATTAACCAAAATGTAAAAATAAATCCTAAGTGCAAATGCAGGGTATCACAAAGTCTTTCTTTGGATCGTAATGTGGGCTTTTGGACCGGGTTAGGAAGAAAAAGGTATCACAAAGGCTCAAAAAAACAGCTTGGATGAGTTCAACATTACAACTTTTGGAATCTGATTTCTTATAGCAACCACAACTTCTGCCCCAGTTTCTTTACTTGGGGACTTTTGAATTTTTATTTTTATGGGTTAATGAGTTAGTTTTGAAATTTAGAGCAAGGAGGAGGAGGGGGAGTTTTGTCTTGCATTTAAACTAGCCCAACAAGTTCAGCGGCCCAGTGTCTCAAAATATCCGCCCCAGCAAGCCATACCCAACCCATTCTCCTTTAGACTCCCAAAACGACCTTGTTTTAGGTCAAATAGTCAACAGTTAATCACGACCCTCCATATCCTCTGATCCAATAGCCATGAACTGATCACTTAATCCCTTTTAACTGTCCTAAAGATTCGGATTCGACCCAAGTGATACCATTCTCTCATCTCAATTCCACACAAACATCAAACTCCCCTCTCAGCCACCGGAAATCGCCTACGGCGGCAGATCTTCCCCTAATGACTACAAAATTTGACCACTTAATCTTCATGCCATCCTCGTACTTAATTCCACACCAGCTTCCTCGGAAAAGTTCCTAAGCTCCTCGAATTTTAGATCTTAGAACCAAAGAAAGAAATAATAAACCTAATCTTTGGCTACCCCTTTTTAATACCTTACACGCCTGAGCCCATCTCGAGTTAATCTTATACCAAACGACTATCTTCAATGAATACTTTCGATTGTTATTTGTTTCACGTCATTTTACGGCGACTAGATCTTGATCAAACCTCCATTGATTGGACAAGAGCTTTGAATCCTCCGCTGCCTTATTTCTCCCGCCCCGATGTGGTAGTCGATATCATTACATATAGCAGTAGCTCTGCCTTTAGGTGCGAGCCAGTTCTCATGTTACGATGTCAGCTATCATCCAGTGATTTCCTGGTTTCGTCGGTTTCAAAGGTGATCCCTTTCTATTCTTAATGATAAAACCTATTAAATCTTTTTGTGGTTTGTTAATTCCCCTTGTTGATTCAGTGATATGATAGCTATTTATGTTTATTTGTTCAAATTAGTTTTATGTTAGTTCCCCTTATTGATTCAGTGATACGATGTCAGCTATTTATGATTTAGGTGTTGTTCATTACTCTTGATTCTCTATCTCTGTTTGGATTAAACTTATTCTATTTTTTATTTTAACTTCAAGGGGGTTGGGTCGGTCTTGATTGATAAACATGTTCATTAAAGTGAATCTGGGCTTCAGGGAATGAAAGGCTAAAAAGAACTGTGGTCCATTATCAACAAAGGTCTTGATTAATAATACTTACTAGAGGTAAATGTAGTTGTCTTAAGGGGTATTCTAAGAACTAGAAGAAAAGAATCTATTCTTTAACCGTTTTAGAAGATCCTAGAAGATAGACTAAGGACCAATTTAAAGGGGGCTGGAAGGAAAAAGAGGCAACAGAAGGTACAACTGTACCAAAAAGTTGTAGAAAGATGCCTTTTCCTAATTTTTAAGGGCTGACATATTCTGGATATTCTCTCATTTTTATTTTGTATAAAAAGACACTCGCACTCTCATTCTAACACATGCAAGAAAGAGCAGAATAATCGTCTTTTCATTTTTTCTTGGCTTTTATCTTTTGCATTTTCAATCAGAAAGATCAGGCATTCCCTTTATACATTCGTTTTGTTTCTTAAAAAGAAAGAACACTCATCTTCATTGATATAACTTTGAAGACTAGAATAAGAAAAACTCAAAAACCAAAAAAATAAGGGGTTCGAAACTGTAATTGATCTCTATTCATTTATTGTTCCTTTCTAGAAATCTCAAGTTTTGGCTGAGCTGTTGATTTGTTGCTTATGTGCTGCTGTCCTTTAGCCTTCAACTCAGGATTTTATTTAGTCTACATTTCATCTCTGTTGCTAGGTATGTTTTGTTATTTTCTTGTAATTCTCTCATGCTCCTTAGTGAACGAAGGGTTTGTTTAATTATGCTACATTCTGTTAACCCACCTAAACTTGTTATTTTCTTTCTGATTCATAATATTAAGTTTTTATTCATGAACTTCTTGCTCAAAGTTATTATAAATTAGCTATTTAGTTGAGTCATGCCTATTTACTAATCAGATTTGAAGTATGCTTGTGTGTTATTTTGAAGTTTGGTCATTGCAAGAGATTAATTAGTTGACAATTGTGACCACCAGTTGGTCACAATTGTGAATTATAGAACACAGATCCACGCCAAGCGATTTAAATGTCTTAATGATCGTTGTCTCGTTCCCTATTTTTATCTGAATGAATGTTTGGTAGTCACTTGATAGCTTGTCTACTGCTGATCAAAATAAGGGATTTAGAGGTCTATAGTTGCGAATTTGGCCATAGTTTGGTATGATTTGTAGTTGAGGACCTAGGTGAAGTTTCACTTTTGTTTGTAGCTATTAAGCATACATTGTAATTAGGATCATAGTAAGGGTTAACCAAAGTTTAATTCTTTAATGGGGTAAGAATTTTGTAATTTTAAGCATGAGATAATGTACTGTATAATTGGCAATATAACGGTTTGGGTGACTATTCATGCAAATCACAAACATTTAAATTGATATATATTAGTTTATTGTTCAAACCATCTGTTTATTTTGTTGCGTTACAATATTGCCAATCAATTGTTGAATGAAACTGTTGGTTTTTTTAAAACATACAAAGTGCGTAGGGGTTTCAAAAAGTTCTGTGTAATACCCTATATATTAATAAAGGGATATAAGTCTTTAACCAAAGTTTTCTTGTTTAAAAAATAATTAGAAAAGAAAGAATCAACAAAAGAAAATGTAACAACCCGATCGGTCGTTATGAGCATTTGCACTTCGCTCGGTTGTTTGAAGTCATGAGTAGCTCTGTATGAAGTATTATGACTTATATGAATCGTCGGTTTTGGTTTTTAGGTTATTTGGAATTGATTTGGAAGAATTATTCTCAGTTAGAAGCTTTAAATTTGAAAGGTTTGATCAAGTTTTGACTTTCTAGAATTTGACCTCGGATTGGATTTTTGATGGTTTCATTAACTCTGTTGGGTGATTTTGGACTTATGAGCGCGTCCGGATTGTGATTTTGAGGTCCGTAGTAGAATTTGGCTTGAAATAGCAGAAGTTGAAATTTTGGAAAGTTTAACCGGGAGTGGGTTTTTGATATCGTGGTCAAATTCCGATCCGGAAGTTTGATCAGGTCCATAATGTCAAATTTGACTTGTGTGCAAAATTTTAGGTCAATCGGACGTGATTTGATAGGTTTTAGCATCAGTTGTGGAAGGTTGATGTTTCAAGTTCATTGATTTCGAATTGAGGTGTGCTCCGGCGTTTTGATGTTGTTATGTTTGTTTTGAGGCCTCGAGTAGGTCAGTATTCTGTTATGAGACTTGTTGGTATGTTCGAACAGAGTCCCAACGGGCTCGGGTGAGTTTCAAATAGGTTTGGGTTGTGTTGCGCTTGTTTTTTAATGTTTCGACATCGTTTTTCAAGCATAAATGGTACAATATTAAGCAAATGAGCTCCGATTTCTTTTTTTATTGAAGCATTAGATCCATATCGTAATTATGGAGTCATATAAAAAAGAATCGTCAAATTTGGACATCGTATGATGATTTTATAGTCATCTTACTAAGAATTGGGTTGCGAGATTTTTCAGATTAATTACGATATTGTGACTGAATTCGTATTTAAAATCTGCACTATTTTCAAATATTGAAACCAACATATCTACTTCAATATAAGGTCAAATGGATTGATTCAAGAGCCTAACTTGACTAAAATTTCACAAGGAATATATTGGAATCATCAAAAGTGAGTTTTGGGATAATTTTGAATGAGAATCGAGGAAGAATACTGGCAGAAAAATATATAAAATTAGGGTTTATTCATTTGGTCTTATTTTGAGTTGGGGAGCTCGGATTTGGGTATTTTGGAGATGATTTTCACCATATGGATTGGGGTAAGTGTTCTGTACTTGGTTTTGGTTATATTTCATGAATCCATTTTTATATTTGGTATTTAATTGATGATATCAAAATGCAATTTAGGGGTTTTTGCCTAAAGTTTCATAAAGTGAATTTTTAAGTTTTGAACAACGATTCAGAGTTAAAATTGGATGAAACTAGTATGGTTAGACTCATAATTGAATAGGCTATCAGATTTTATAAGTTTTGACGAGTTTCGAAATGCTGGCCCGGGTTGGGCTTTTTGGCCGATTATGGGCTTTTTCGATTGGGATTTGTTACTTTAGCATTGTTTGATGTATTTGAGTTAGTTTTGGTTAGTTTCGAGCCGTTCATAGGTTAGAACGCGTGAGATGCCATTTTTGGAACATCGCTTGGCTTGCTCGCTATTGGAAATGGCTTCTTTGAGGTATGTAACGATTGTAAATCTAGTCCTGAGGGTATGAAACCCCGGATTTTATATCGTTTTACTATTTTAAGGTGACGCGCATACTAGGTGACGGGCGTGTGAGCGTGAATCGTTGGGGATTTTGACTTGGTCCATCCCGTAGCAACTATAAGTTGCGTATTTGGTTGAAACTATATGATACTTATGTGTTTTAGAAAGAATTTCTATAAATTGGGCTGAACGTCGTACCTTTCTTGTGCTAGAGCTATTTGGACCCTTAGGGGCCTTTTTCTTACTACCCTCTCACTATTTTTGATTAGAAATCTATACTCAGTCATGTTATACTTATTGTTTTCATAACTCAGTCTTTATTACTCTGTTTTGATGCATATAAAAATTGTTTTGGGATGAGTACCCTATTTTTACTGAGAGCCCGAGTGGCTTGAGAGCTTTATGACTGAGTGAGGCTGAGGGCCTGATTTTTAAGGATATTTATGGGATTAGGCTGCACGCCGTAGTATGTTTTAATGAGTAAGGCTGAGGGCCTGATTTGTGAGGATATTTATAGGATCGGGCTGCACGCCGCAATATGTTTACTGATTCATGATTGAGTGAGGCCGAGGTCCTGATTGATTTATGTGACGAGGTGGCTTGTTATAGCGCTTGGGTTGTAGGAGCCCCTCCGGAGTCTCCACACCCTCAGTGAGCGTGGGTACCCTAGGTGAGTGATTTGATGTTCTACCCGAGGGGCTGTTCTTGATTCATGTTGTGCCCGAGGGGCTATTTACAAGTGATTGTGAGGTATGCCCTAGGGGCTGTATATGAGTGACTGTGAGGTTTCCCGAGGGAGTGTTTATGATTTATGTTTGCCCGAGGGGCTTCTCACCAGTGATGTTTTTCTCGAGTGGCTGCTCACGATTTATGTTTGCCCGAAGGGCTGTTCACCAGTGATGTTTCGCCCGAGGGGCTGTTTATGCTTTCATCATATTTTTTTACCCACTGTTTCATCACTTTGGTTGAAAGATGTTTAAACGGTTTTACTGAATTTGGATTTAAACGAGTTGAGTTGATTCAAACCCTGATATTAAAAGCATGTTGTATTCTATTGAGATTTCATGATTTGATATGTATATGTTTTATTGCTCGTCACTACTAATCAGTCTTTATTTACTTTGGTTACTTACTGAGTTGGCGTACTCATGTTATTCCCTGCACCTTGTGTGCAGATCCAGGTATTTCGGATTCCGGTAGCGGGTGTTAATTATTCGGTGGCAGATCCATCGGAGTTAGCAAGGTAGCTGACTGGCGATCATAGCCCTGCTTTACTCCCTCTTTATCTTCCCTTAGTTGTATTCTGTTATTTTCAGGCTATGTTTGTCTTGATATTGTCAAACGGTTGTAATAGATTCTCATGACTAGTGACACCCCGATTCGGGTTTCTTTTCCACACTTTTGTTTTTGATTTACACTCCTTATGAAGTTTTTATATTAAATAACTTTGTAAATTATCTTGAAAATGAAAATCTTATTTTGTTTTGGTAATGTGTTGGCTTGCTTAGTACCATGATAGGCGCCATCACGACAAGATTAGTTTTGGGTCGTGACAAGTTGTTATCAGAGCCTAGGTTACATAGGTCTCATGAGTCATGAGCGGGTTTAGTAGAGTCTTGCGGATTGGTACGAAGACATTTGTACTTATCTTTGATAGGCTACAGAATCTTTAGAAAAATTCCACATTCTTGAATCCTTATCGTGCGGTATTGATTCAGCTTGAAGCATAACTCTTTGAATTCCTTCCACGTATTTGTGTGCGCATATGAGCGCTCGGTATCAGCTCTGCATCGACGACTTGTGATTCCCTGGATGAGGTACGATGTGTGATTTCTTTGTGTTGATGTTGGGCTAGTCTAGAGGGCTTGAGGTCAGGTTTTGACTGTAGCTTGAGCACTGAGATCCCGATTTGTGTGAGCACGTGCATTTGGGACTTATATGCCCGTTTTTATCCTTATTTGTGGGACTTGTGACTGGATGACTATATGGTGAGTATGATTTGATTGCGAGATGTGTTTAGATTGTTTGAATGTGACAAGAAGAGTTTGCTTGAGATGTAGTAATGATTATTGGGTGCTTGACTTTTGTCTTGAGTTGGCGTATGGCCTCGAGTTATGGGTGTGTTAAAGGACCTCTCGTGTAGTTTAGTTGTGGAGTGGAGTAGATCATCATGTTGTGTTATGAGTTCAGACTCAAGGGGTTAAGTGATTGTGTAATAGTTATGATATGGAAGAGTATATAGAGATACTAGTTTGAGGCTAAGCAGGTGGATTATCTCATGCGGGGTGTTCTGAGGTTTGTGTGATCCTTATGTAGTTGGTTGGGAGTCCTCTTTTACCAATGAAATATATGTGTTGCAATTTGAGTTTGGATCGCTTATAAGAGTGGGCCTATCTGTTACGAGGGTGAACACGAGGCTTGTAGATGATTTGAAATACTTGATGGATGTGTTGCATGAGCTTATGAAGGGATTTAGTTAACTTTCACTATGGTATTATTGCAGTAATAGAGTATGGACATTGTGAGTTATTATGTGTTTTGATCTATGGCTTTGAGCCAAGTGGGGGAGTCTGCTATTGATAAGTTGATTGCACGGTTATGTGTTGTGTTGGTTCCAATTTGAGGTATACTAGTAAATCAGTTATGGCTTACTGAGGTTGAGATTGAGGATGACCTGAGCAAAGGAAATTTCGGATGAGGGTTGTGTTATGCTTTATGGATATATGAGAAACATTGGATGATTTAGTTGTTGTTTGTAAGGAATGTAATGTGATGGAGTAGGAAAAATCGCTCAGCAGCTTAGAAGAATGTGTTACTTTCTTGGGTGTTGGAGTGCTAGTGGGGGCACAGGTCGTTCGGTCCGTTTGGTAAGTCTAATTGAGATTTGAGTTGAGTGGATGACTCTCGAGAATGGTTCCAATGAATTCAAGATTTATACGTGGCAATTGGGAATCTTCAAGATGTGTGTTGGCTAGAAACTGAGATTTATATGGGAGGATATTAGGACTTGTGGCATTTCTATATCATTATGGGTTCTACATATTAGTATCAGTAATGCGAAGGTAATGGCTTTAGATTTGTAGAAGGTCTCTTCAGAGCGGGTATCTCGGTTGTGGTACTTTTAGGGGTGCTTCAAAAGAATACAACGGTTTATGAGCCTTAGAGTGGTGTGGTTTTATGCTAAAGTTCGTGGGGTAAGTTTTAGTTAAGAATGACAGTGTACTAGCAAGGAAACGTATCAATCTGAAGGTAATTCGGAAGGAACTTGGAGAATTAGGATAGCTTGGTAGTAGGTTGGATCGACATGGTAATGCATATGATTGGTTCTTGGGTGCTTATGATGCGGTGGGTTTCTACAGGTGCTTTGCAGCAATGCTCTTAGGTTTTGATAGCTTGTGTAGCTTGGTTGAGTTATAAAGGGTCAGTTCGGACGGTATGGTTTAGTGCAAAGGGGATTCGGAGAGTTCTTGATTATTTCTACCACGGTTGGAGGTGTATATTTTCTACTGGTGTGAAGAGCATGAGATGTATAGTGATTTTCTCCTAGATGGGATCAAAAGGAAAATTACTTGGCTGGTTGAGTGCATAGTTGCTTGTAACTCGGAGTGGATTATGAAGTTCTCATATTTATCATAGGATGGCATGGTATATGTGGAATGTTGTGTAGGTTGAGATTTGCATGTATAAGTTACAGTTCAATTTTGAAATGAAGTTCATAAATTCTTAGGCAGCATGGATAGTTTCAGATGACTGGGTGAATGATATTACTATTTGGTGTGGATTCATGAGAGTATACAATTCAGAAGGGGGCAATGTGTTTTGATTTATGGATACTCCATCGGTATTGTGGTACTCGTCTAATTGATCGACTGCTAATACTCATATTTTGTGATGTGGCATGGAAGAATCAGAGAAGCATTCCTCGTGGGATGAATATGTATTAGAGATGCATCAGATATTCGATCAGTGGAGTTGGGATCAAATATGGTGATTCGTGTGTTCTATGGATTAGGAGACTGGGAGTTCTCATGAGTAGATTGTTTCATGGTTGTGGACTGTGAAAATGTAGCTAAGGTTATTCAGAAGGTAGTGTGTGTTGGGATTCAGTCACTGTGGACTTTCGGAGGGTTATTTATCGGTTGTGGGTGACTAGAGTTGATTGGGGGTTCATTCGTAAGACCAATATGGATGTGTGTTCTGCATCGGGTTGGATTTATTGACTCCAAATTGATATTGTTGAGAGATGTGCCATTCGATTATTGTTAAGCTTATTCGTGTTCTGGAGTGATCTATGAGTTACTCTTCTGTGTTATGAGGGGTTATGATTTGTTGGTTATATGCACATATGGTGCGGTTCTATTGGGGTCTTATAGCGGAAATTGAGCGGNTGTGTTATGAGGGGTTATGATTTGTTGGTTATATGCACATATGGTGCGGTTCTATTGGGGTCTTATAGCGGAAAGAGTATTGGTATTGCTTGGTGGATGGCGTATTGTAATGCTCTTTCGGGTTTTGTGTGGCATTATGTCATTAGCTTGTCCGTGGTTATGGTAATGAAATTTGAGTACTTGATGTCGAATTATGGGTGGTTATTGATTTTGACCAAGGTGGCTTGAGGTATATGCCATGGATTAGTGTTTGGATGGGGCACACATTTCAGCGAAATTATGTTGAGGTATGAACCTTTGTGTTAGATTTGTGTGATGGTCCTACGGGGTGTATGGATTTTCAGTATTTCGTGTGGCAGTACTTGTTAAGCTTATAGGACAGTCCTCTCGTTTGAGTCATTTTTTTCATGATTTGAGTACATTTCGGATGTTGCTATTGGGTGCACAAATTTCACAAGTTATAACGTTGGATTGTATTGATGTGATATGTCATAAGAGTGGTCGTGTTGGATGAGATGAGGTCATTGGACCTAGAATGAATATTATCAGAATTGGTTACATCATAGTTCGAAAGATAATATCGGAAGTCGACTTAGAAATATGTTATAGTTCCTATCGGAGAAGATGGAGCTCCATGACTTGTTGATATGACGAATGGTTATGAGTTTCTGTGTGTTTCTTTCATCATTGGTAGTATATGGAAGTGTTAGAATGAGACTTTGTTTGTTAAGAGGTGTATTACCGGTATTTGGTTGTTTTGAGCGGCTACTGTGATTAGGAGTTATCGCCATGAGTGTTTGAGTTATATGGTATATCATATGATTACATCTTGGGTTACGGATATAGTTTGATATAGCTTGTTCAGACTTATACAGTATGTAGGTGCGAGATTCTGATCTTATAGGAAATTTCGGATGATGGAAATTGGGCCCTAAGGCTTATGGACTAGGTTGGATTAAGAAATTTTAGTCATGTTGTGTTATTAGACCTATATGGGATAGGGTGACATGGGATCACCCCCAGGTATGTGTATAGTGAGATTACACGGCGATTTGATGGCTTTTGGAACAACTCCTGGCACGTTCGAGGATGAATGTATGTTTACGTGGGGGAGGATGTAACGACTCGACCGGTCATTTTGAGCATTTTCACTTCGCTCGTTTGTTTGAGGGCTGAGTAGCTCCGTGTGAAGTATTATGACTTATGTGAATCGTCGGTTTTGGTTTTCAGGTTATTTGGAATTGATTTGGAAGAATGATTCTCATCTAGAAGCTTTAAATTTGAATGGTTTGACCAAGTTTTGACTTTCTAGAATTTGACCTCGAATTGGATTTCTGATGGTTCCGTTAGCTCTGTTGGGTGATTTTGGACTTATGAGCGCGTCCGGATTATAATTTGGAGGTCCGTAGTAAAATATGGCTTGAAATAGTAAAAGTTGGAATTTTGGAAAGTTTAATCGAGAGTGGATTTTTTGATATCAAAGTTAAATTCCTGATAGGTTGAGGCATCGATTGTGGAAGTTTGAAGTTTCAAGTTCATTGATTTCGAATTGAGGTGTGCTTCGGTGTTTTGATGTTGTTATGTGTGTTTTGAGGCCTCGAGTAGGTCTGTGTTACGATATAGGACTTGTTGGTATGTTCGAACAGAATCCCGATGGGCTCGTGTGAGTTTTGGATAGGTTTGGGTTGTGTTACGCTCGTATTTTTAATGTTTCGACGTCGTTTTTCAAGCATAAATGGTACTACATTAAGCCAATGAGCTCCGATTTTTTTTTTATTGAAGCATTAGATCTATATCGTAATTATGGAGCCATAGCAAAAAAGAAACGTCAAATTTGGACATCGTATGAGGATTTTATGGTCATTTTACTAAGAATTGGGTTGCCAAATTTTTCAGATTAATTACGAAATTACCAGTGCATTCGTATTTAAAATCTGTACTATTTTCAAATATTGAAACCAATATATCTCCTTCAATATAAGGTCAAATAGAGTGATTCAAGAGCATAAC